ACCAGTAATGTGCCTCAGGCTGATCCTGGCTCACAAGAACCCAGTGCAGTCCATCCCAGTGCTCCCAGTAACACCAGTAACATGCCTCAGGCTGATCCTGGCTCACAAGAACCCAGTGCAGTCCATCCCAGTGCTCCCAGTGACAGCATTAATGCACCACAGCACATCCCAGTGCTCCCAGTAGCGTAGGACCTGTCCTACACCTCATCCCAGTCCTGCCAGTAGCATCAGGGACACAGGGCACCTCATCCCAGTGCTCCCAGCAGCACCAGTAACCCCAGTGCCACCTGCCCTCCAGCCCCCAGTGCTCCCAGTAACACCAGTAATATGGCACACCATCACTCCCAGTGCCACTAGCACGGCCCATCCCAGTGACACCAGTACCATGGGAAAGCCCATCCCAGTGATCCCAGTACAGTCGGTGCCAGTGCTCCCAGTAACACCAGTATAGCCTGCCTCGGTGCTCCCAGTGACATCAGTAATATGGCACAGCGCACCCCAGTCCTCCCAGTAACACCAGTATGGCCCATTCCAGTGACACCAGTAACCCCAAAAACCCCTGTAAGCCTAACCCATGCCTCCCAGTAAGACATCCTGATGCTCCCAGTGACACCACTGACACGGCACAGTCCACCCCAGTCCTCCCAGTTACACCAGTACAGTCTGCCCAAATGCTCTCGGTAACACCAGTAATGCAGCACAGTCCGACCCAGGACTCCCAGTAACACCAGTGTGGCTCATCCCAGTGCTCCCAGCGCCCCAGCACAACCCCTCCCAGTGCTCCCAGTCCGGGCGTGGCCGTGACTCACTGCCCCGGCAGCAACAACAACAGCGGGGGGGGCTCCTGGGCCCCCCAAAAAGCCGCGGGGAGGGGGGGACAGCGGACCTGGGCGGGAGCAGAGTGGGGGGAGCACCCCGTGTCCACCCGATGTCCTCCCCTGGTCCTCGCCCTCTTCTCCCCCCCGTGCTCCCCCACCGCGTGTCCCCCCGCCCCCGCCAAGGAATTTTCTCCATCAACACGATGAGCTCATGGCGGGGGAGGGACGGCGGGGCCCCGCCGGGGTGTCCCGGCCCCAGCCCCACTCCCGACGCGTTTAGTGCGTGATTTATTGATGTGTTGTTGTATAGATCTGCGGATTTATTGATCGATTTCACACTCGGTCACTGTCACAGCCCTGGCCCCGAAGTCACCCTCCCCACGGTGTCCCCATCCTCCGGCACCGTCCTCATCCCTGCTGTCACAGTCTCCATCTCCAGCGTCCCCCTCCCAGCCCTAGTCGTCCCCCTCCCCATCCTCAGTGTCCCCCGCTGTCCCCCACGGGAGGGTCCTTAGCTCCCCGGGGGTCCCCAGCTCCCGCAGCCGTCCCCCCTCCAGCAGGGCCACCCTCGGTGCCCGCTGGGCCAGGGCCACCCGTCCTGTCACCAGCAGCACCGCCGGCCCCTCCCCTGTCCCGGGACACAGCAGCTCCTGCTCCACCTGCGGGGACACAGCAGGGTCAGGGCACGCGAGGACACGGGGGACACGGGGGTGTCAGGGGACGTGCAGAGCACAGTGAGGCACTGCAGAGTGGGGACACGAGCACCCAGAGGACATCGGGACCAAGGGGACCGTGGGACTGGGGTCCCGTGGGACAGGGACCCGGGTGATAGGAGGATGTGGGGACCCAGGGTAGGTGGGGACATTGGGACCAAGGGGATGCAGGGGTGGGGTCCTGGGGGATTTGATGGCACAGGGGACCCAGGGGACATGGAGGCAGCAACCAAGGGGACACAGGGAGTAGGAACAGAGGGGATACAGGGCACTCAGGGAGTGGGGACCTTGGGGACAGGGGGCACATGGGGGACACAAGGATTGGGGACCCAAAGGACATGGGGAGTGGGAACCCAGAGAACATGGGGACAAGGAAGGGACCTAGGGGATACATAGGATCCAAAGAGACACAGGGGCAGGGACACAGGGAATTTGGTCACCTAGGAGACCCCAGGGGACATGGGGGGCAGCAATCAAGGGGACATGGGGTGTGGGGACCCAGGAGAGATAGGGCATATGGGGGATATGAGGACTGGGGACCCAGGGCACACACTGAGTGAGGACCCAGAGGACATGGGGACCCAGGGGACCTGTGGGATGGGACCATGGGACACAGGGACACAGACAGGGCTGTGACCTACCTGGCGCCGGGTCATGGGGTCGAGTGCCCGCGTGGGCTCATCCAGCACCAGCACTTGGGGGTTCCTGAGCAGGGCCCGGGCCAGTGCCACCCCTTGTGCCTGTCCCCCTGAAAGCTGCATCCCCCGTGGGCCCACCTCTGGGAACAGAAGGGACACCTTGGGAACACCACAAGGATACCGTGGGGACACCATGGGGACATTGCATGCACACATTGGGGAGCTGCACCCACTGTGCACCTGCTGCTCCAGGGACAGGGAGGAGACAGGGAGGAGGCAGAGGGGACACTGAGGAGACACCATGGGGAATTGGGAGCAGGCAGAGAGTGGGCAGTGAGGGGACAACAACGGGGCACTGTGATGACAGCATGGGGACACTGAGGGACACCATGGAAACACATTTGGGACACCAAGGGGAGACAGAGAGGACATGTTAGGAAGGACACCCCCTGCACCCCCAGCTCTGGGGCACACAGGGAGAACAGAGATGGGACAGCGAGGGAACAGGGAGGAAGCATTGAGGGGACAGCATGGGGAGACCATGGGGACATCATGGGGACAGTGAGGGGACAGAGGAACATGGTAGAAAGACTGTGGGGACATTACAGACACCTTGGGGATGGTGAAGGGATGTCATGGGAACAGCAGGGGACACTATGGGAACATAAGGGGTCACAATGGGGACAAATTGGGGAAAGTAGGGAAATCAAGGGGACACACTGGATGTATTAGTGGGACACTTTTCGGACATCTTTGGAACACACTGGAGACCCCACAGGGGGACCATGGGAGCGCTTGCTGTACCTGTGTCATAGCCATGCAGCAGCTGTTTGGCCCAGTCATGCACTCCCACCCGCCGCGCCGCTGCCATCACCTGTGTCCCCTCCTTGTGTCCCCAGCCCAGCGTGATGTTGGCGCTGAGGGAGCGAGACAACAGGGACGGGCACTGCAGGACACCAGCCACCTGCGGGGACACGGGACATGGGGGAACAGGGGGAATTTGGCAAGGACAGGCCACATAGGGATTTGGCAGGGACAAGGAGGGGACACGTGGAGACGTGGAAGGGTGGCAGGGTCATGGTGAAGCTGGCTGATGACACAGGGATGGCTGTGAAGAACTGTTGGGAACAGGAGTGACCTGAGGATGGCAGTGGGGATGTGTTGAGAACATAGGGTGACACGGTAGCCATGGCTGCTGGGACAATGGTTGGCCTGGGGGTAGCCATGGTAACCCACTGGTGACATAGGGGTGGAACTGGGGACCCACATGACATGGAGGTGGAACTGGGGACCCAGGTGGTGGCACTGAGGCACACACTGGTGACTTTGGTGAGGCAGTAGGGACCCATTTGGGGCACAGGAGTGACCTGAGAGTAGCAGTGGGGACCTGTTGAGGACCAGGTGTGAACCCAGGGGTGGCTGTGGGGACCTGCTGGGGACAACAGGCCACGCAGGGTGGCCATGGGAGAACAATGGAGAGGTTTGGTGACAGGGGGACAGCAGCAGGGAGTGGATGGTGACCTAGGGGTGGCCCGTGTGCGTCACCTGCTCCCGCAGAGCCGGGTCCGAGTGCGGGGTCAGGGGGGCCCCGTCCAGCAGCACCGCCCCGCCCGCCAGGGGGCGCAGCCCCAGCGCGGCCGCCACCAGGGAGCTCTTCCCGCCGCCAGGGGGCGCCAGCACGGCCACGACCTCTCCCGGGCGCAGCGACAGCGACACCCCCTGGTGGCAGCAACAGGGATCGCACCCGACACCCCCGCCTCCCCAGTGTCCCCTTGTCCCCCCATGTCCCAAATATCCCCTTGTCCTCCCATGTCCTATGTGTCCCCAATATCCCTTGTCCCCCCATGTCCCCAATATCCCCTTGTCCCCCCATGTCCCACGTGTCCCCCTATGTCCCCAGTATCCCTTGTCCCCCCATTTCCCATGTGTCCCCAATATCCCTTGTCCCCCCATGTCCCATGTGTTCCCCATGTCCCCAATATCCCCTGTCCCCCTGTGTCCCCGATATCCCTTGTCCTCCCATGTCTCTTGTGCCCCCATGTCCCCAATGTCCCATGTCCCCCATGTCTCCAATATCCCCGTGTCCTCCGATGTCCCACGTGTCCCCTCATGTCCCCATTATCCCCTTGTCCCCCTGCATCCCCAATATCCCCTTATCCTCCCGCGTCCCCAGTATCCCCTTGTGTCCCCCCATGTCCCATGTGTTCCCCCATGTCCCCAATATCCCCTTGTCCCCCATGTCACCAATATCCCGTCCCCCATGTCCCATGTGTGCCCCCATATCCCTAGTATCCCCTTGTCCCCCCATGTCCCATGTGTCCCCAATATTCCCTTGTCCTCCCATGTCCCTTGTGCCCCCATGTCCCCAATATCACCTGTCCCCCCGTGTCCCAAATATCCCCTTGTCCTCCCATGTCCTGTGTCCCCCCATGTCCCCAATATCCCCTTGTCATCCCACGTCCCTTGTTGCCCTGTGTCCCCAATGTCCCATGTCCCCCCATGTCCCCAATATCCCCTTATCCCCCCATGTCCCATGTGTTCCCCATGTCCCCAGTATCCCCTGTCCCCCCGTGTCCCCAATATCCCCTTGTCATCCCATGTCCCTTGTTCCCCTGTGTCCCCAATGTCCCATGTCCCCCCATGTCTCCAATATCCCCTTGTCCCCACATGTCCCATGCATCCCCCCATATCCCCAATATCCCCTTGTCCCCTTCAAGTCCCCAATATCCTCTTGTCTCCCATGTCCCCAATATCCCCTTGTCCTCCCATGTCCCCTTGTCTCCCCATGTCTATAATATCCCCGTGTCCCTGTCCCGTATCCCCCCCAAGTCCCATGCTTCCCCATGTCCTCCCCATGACCCCAATATCCTCTTGACCCCCATGTCCCCAATATCCCCTTGTCCCCCCATGTCCCACGTGGCCCCCATGTCCCCAATACCCCCATGTCTCCCTATGCCCCTGTGTCACCCATCACCTTGAGGACTGGCTCGGACCGCCCCGGGTATGACATCCAGACATCCCTGAGGCACAGGCCTCGAGTCCATGTGGTCTCATGGCCCCGCGGGGTAACAGGTGATGGTGGCCCTTCGAGTGTCACCGTCCTGGCCTGCTCCAGCAGTTCCAGGAGTGTCTCAGAGGAGCCAATGGCCTTGGCCAGGATCGGGACGTACAGGAGCATGGCCTGGGGACATGGACACAATAGGGACATGGGGACATGAGGAGGACACATGGAGACATGAGGTGACATGGGGGGGCTCTGGCATGGTTTGGGGGTATGAGAGGACTTGGGGGACACAAGGGACATTGGGGATACAGGAGAAGTGGGACATGGGGGGGTGATGGGGACATGGCAAAGCCTAAGGACACAGGGGAGCATGGGGGAACATGGGGACAGGGAGAGGCACAACAAGGTGGGAATGGGGTTTGAGGGCATGGAGGGGACACAGCAGGGTTATGTTGGACAGTGGGGGAAAAAACATGCCTGGGACAGGTTAGGAACATGGAGAACAGGCACAGGGACAAGGACGGGGATATAGGGAGCTGGTGGGCACATGGCAGGGGCACACTGGGACATAAGTGAGGGAACACAACAGGGTGGGGCTGGGGACACAGGAGACAGGGACGTGGCCAGGAGAACTTGGGGACATCACTGTGAGGCTATGGGGACATGGTGGGGGGACATGGGACACAGGGAATGGGGTTGGGGACAGGCTAGGGACAAGACAGGACATACTGGTGACATACAGGACACACTTATCACCTCCACAGCCTTGGTGAAGTGTAGCTGGCACATGAGGATGGTGACCAGCTCCCCACGAGTGACAGTCCCTGCAGCCACCAAGCGTCCCCCCAAGAAGAGCAGTGCCAGCTTCAGGACCAGTGCAGGAAACTGGGGACACAAGGACACAGGGTGTTAGCCCAGCCTCATGTCACTGTGTCCCCCAGCCCCATGGCACCATGTCCCCTTCCCCAGGCCATCCATCCCCATGCTCCTCAGCCCAGGAGGAGGAGCAGGCCACCATGTTTCTATGTCTCCCGGCCCCACACTGCTGCTCCCCATGTCCTACCACCCCCATGCCACCATGTCCTCATGTCTCCTGGACCTTTGCCACTGCGTCCCTGTTCCCCAGCCCCTGTCACCACATCTCCCATCCCTGTGCCACCACCCCTGTATCCCCATGCCCCTATACCCCTGTCTTAATCCCCCTGCCACCACATCCAATGTGACCTCCTGCTGCCATGTCTTCACATCCCCTATTCCAATGCCACCACATTCCCACGTCTCCCAGCCCCCTGCCACCGCGTGCCCTTGCCCCCAGCCCTGTGCCAACACATCCCCATTCCTACGCCACTGTCCCTCACCCCCTGTGCCCCCAGTATCCCCATGTCCCCATACCCCACTGGCCCAGAGCCCGGCCGCGTAGGCCAGCGCCTCCTTCTGCTCCAGCCGGTGTCCCTGGGCCAGGCGCTGCCGGACACGCTCGGTGACACCGGCCTCGTGCCCGAAGGCCCGGACGGTCCCCATGGCCCCCAGGGACTCCAGGGCCACTGCCGTGGTGCTGGCCTGCGCTGCCCGCACCTGCCGGGCCAGGTCCTGGGGACACAGGGGACGGGCGGGTCACCCTGGGGTCACAGAGGGGCCACCACAAGGATGGGGGGACATGGGGTGGATGGAGTATGGGACAGGGGATCACCACAGGGTCACCGTGGGGTCACAGAGGGAACAGGAAGGTTACATCAGGGTCATCTCAGGGTCACCATGGAGATAGGGGGTGGGGGGACAGGGAGGAAACATGGCACAGGAGGAGGTGAGGGAGGGCATGGGGAAGTGATAACAGGCACAGGAAGGTGTAGGGAGACGACAAGGGGCCTCCAGGGAGGTGACGCTGGGGACAGGGAGGTGACAAGGGCCCCTCACACCCCGTGTCCCCTCAGTACCTGTTGGATGCGCCCGACGGCGCGTGGCAGCAGCAGGAAGAGGGGCAGTGCCAGGAGGGTGAGCAGGCCCAGCAGCGGGGACAGCCAGGCCACCACGGCCAGCAGCGACACAGCCCGGGTCAACGCCCACAGCCCCGGCACCAGCACATCGCCCAGCGCCGAGTGCGCCGCCTCGGCGTCCCCTGTCACCCGCGCCGCCACCGCGCCCGGCGTGTCCCCCAGGCTGCCCCCCGGCCCGGGCACGTCCCCGCGGAGCACCGCGGCCACCGCGCCGCGCTGGAGCCGGTCCCGCGCCCGCGTCAGCGCCACAGCTGCCATGCTGTCACAGGCCAGCTCGGTGATGGCACTGTGGGGACAGCGGGGTCAGGGCTCGCTGGCACCTCGGGGTGGCCCCGGGGCTCGGGTGTTACCCACCTGCCGAGCCCCACCAGCACAAGGGGCCACACGGCCGCTGCTGCGTCCTCCTCCGCCACCCGGTCGGTGACACGGCCCGTGAAGTAGGGGGCAGCCACCTCACCTGTGGGGACACAGCATCAGGGTGGTGACCCCTGGACTGGGGGCAGAGGCCCGAAAATTGGATCCTGATTCCGCAAATTGGTACTCACTACTTCTAAATTGGGTCCTGACCCACAAATTGATTTCTGACCTCCCTCAAATCCGATTCTGCCTCCCTCAGATTGGGTTCTGACCCCTCCAATTGGATTTGCAACACCCCATCGGGTTCTGCCTCCCACCCAGTTATGTCCAAACCCTCCAAATCGGATCCCAAAGCCCCTCAAGGGGGTCCTGCCCCCCCAGGTCGGGGTCTCTCCATACCGAGAGCAGAAGCCGACATCAGCCCCCCCACCAGCGTCCAGCGCCCGCGCTCGGGGCCCAGCAGGGCCAGGAGCCGGCGGATGGGGGGAGACAACATCGGGGACATGGGGACCGGTGGCTCCTGCTGTGTCCTGGTGGGTCTCGGTCTGTCCTGCTGGGTCCCGGTGCTGCTCCCGGTTGCTCCCAGTTCTTCTCGCCGTTGCTGCCGGGCAGTCGCACGGGCTCCGTGCGGCTCCCGGTGCTGCTCGCAGCGTGTCCAAGCCGGGACCCCGCAGGTCCCGGAGGCTCCCGGTGTGGGTGATGCCGGCCCGGTCCCTTTCCCGCCGCCGCCGCCTTTTCCCGGAAAGCGCGCGCGGGGGGCGGGGCGGCACGGCGGGAATCCCCCGAAATCCCGGGCCTGCAGCAACGCCTCTGATTGGTCACGGTGGCGGTGACATCATCGGTTGCCAGGTAGAGGGAGCCGGAGCGGGTTGTGAGGCGGAGGAGGCGATGCCAGAAGGGGGCGGGGCC